ACATTGTTATGTGACCCTAATTGCTCTCCCTATGCTGTGACAGCACACTCCTCCTTTCCACCCCTGATTCCCCATGTCCATTCAACAAGCTCCTAACCCTCTCTGCCTTCCCATTTCACCTCTGGACACAAGCCTTTTCTTTGTATTCATCTTTAGAAGAAACTGGTTTCAGCTTTTTATTATGAAAGATTTTAAACATAATATGACAGTACTGACAACAGTATAATAATACCCAGGTACCCCTCACACAGCTTTAACAATTACCAACACACGGCCAATCTCATTTCACTTGTACCAAGGGTTGGCAAACTTTGGCCCACAGGCCAAATCTGACCCTATTTTTGTAAATAATGTTTTACTGGAACAAAGCCACACTTATTCATTTATATATCTTCTATGGCTGCTTTGGAAACCCTGGTGGCATAGTGGTTAAGCATTATGGCTGCTAACCAAAAGGCTGGCAGCTCAAATCCACCAGGCGCTCCTCGGAAACTCTATGGGGCAGCTCTACTCTGTCCTATAGGGTCGCTATGACTTGGAATCGACTTGACAGCAACAGGTTTGGTTTGGTTTTTTTATGGCCGCTTTAGCGATACAATGGTGGAGTAGTTGTGACAGAGACTGTACGGCCTGCAAGCCTAAAATATTTACTCCCGGGCACTTTACAGAAAATGTTTGCCAACTCCTAACCTATACTCTCCTCAACTAGTCCCTGAACCCCCAGTGGATTATTTTGAAGCAAATCCCATTCATCTGTAAACATTTCGGTATATAAAATAAGGCAGGACTATATTTACTATATCTCTAAAAGATAAGGACTTTACTTTTTAAAGATGCCTCAAAAGAGGTGCTATATTTCTAGGTGTATCACATCAAAGGCACATATCTGACTGTCTTTGTGACAGTAATTCAGGTTTAATAGTTTTTATGTAGGACTGTATTATCAGTGAAAGTTCAATAAGTAAGGAATTGAAACCTCTTAAAAATATTTTTATACTAATAGTGGTAAAGAGAAATACATACCAAATAAAGATAGGTGGATTCATTGTCCAGACCAGAGGTTATCAACTACAAGTAGCAGGTCAAGCTGGTACAGCCTTTTGTGAAACAAACAAAGAATATATACCGGAGACCCTATGCGGTCTGCAAAGCCCAAAACATTTTCTATGTGGCCCTTAACAGAAAGTTTGCTAAACTAACTAGTCTAGACCAGTTATATGGCCCTGTATAGCTGTGCTGCTAAAGGACCTCAGAAGGAATGATTAACTTTATGCAGTTAAATTCACACCAATGGTACAGGCATACTGTAAGAATATATCTAAACTAGGCTTTTTATGATAAATCTAATCAAATATTTCCTGGTAGTTATTTACAGAATTCTGAAAAGAATTTTATAAAGCACCAGTTACAAAGCCTTTATGTGATCCAGAAGTTATGATAAGCTTGATAAAAGTTCTTAAACTTAAAATAACACAGTATGTAATTAGGGAATAACACTGTACAAGTAAAGATAATATTGGTTGGTGTATGTGCTGCTGAGTCGATTCTAACTTTTAGTGACTCTACAGGACAGAGGAGAACTGCCCATAGGGCTTCCTAGGCTGTAATTGTTACGGGAGCAGATCACCAAGTCTTTTCTCCCGTGGAGTAGCTGGTGGGTTCGAACCGCTGACCCTTTGGTCAGCAGCCAAGCGCTTTAACTACTGTGTACAGGGCTCCTTAAAGATAATATAAAGCAAAATATAAATGTTAAAAAAGAAATACAAACGGCTATGTGGTTCCACATGGGCTACAGATTACACAGTTTGCACAGGACAATAAGATAGGTTTGCTAACAGGAAGCATTTAAGATAAGAAAGCTGGTGGATTTGAACTGAGACCTTTTGGTTAGCAGCCGAGTTCTTAAGATATAAATATTTCAGGCTTGCAGGCCGTATGGTCTCTGTCGCAGCTACCCATCTGTGCTGTTGAAGCATCAAAGTAGCCACAGACAATAGAAGTGTAGTACAAATTTAAAGTTCTGACATTAATTAAATCTTCATCTGTCGTACAACAATCATGTATAGAAATGAAACAGAAAGTCAAAATATTACCAAAAAAAACAAAAGGAAGGCCAAGAATCTAATAATTTCTAGGCCAGATTCTTCTGGAAAGACAGGTACTTATTTCAATGTGTATTTTGAATGTGTTTTGACTCTGGTATTTCATTTGTAAAAAATGGGCATGGTTGTGTTTCAATAAAATTTAATTTACAGAAACAGGCAGCTGTTTTGTGGGTCACAGTTTGCTGACCTATGCTTTAAAAGATCACTGTTTTCAAACAAAAATAACAATGTATTATAAAGTTTATGACATGTAGAAGAAAATACATGAAAAAATACATAGGACAAAAGGGGAGGGAAATAAAGTGTACGACTGAAAAATCCTTTCACTCTGCATGCACTGGGGATAACAGTATTTGAAGGTAATCGGTGGTAAGTTCAGGATGTACACTATAAACCATAAAGCAACCACTAGAAACAACAAAGACGCTAATAAAAGAGATAAAATGAAATCATAAAAAATAATTCAAAAGAAGGCAAAAAAGAGTAAACAAAGGACAAGATAAACAGCAAACAATTTGCAAGGTGGTAGATTTAAAGGTAACCCTATAAATAATTACATGAGATATAAATGGTTTGGGAACTCCATTAAATAGCAGAGACCATCAGCTTGGAGAGAAAAGCAGGACTCAACAACACGCAATCTAAACGAAACTCACTGTAATTCATAAACTTAGATAGGTTAAATGCCAAAGGATGGAAAAGAAACCACATAAATAACAGTCAAAAGGAAGCTGGAGTGGCTATGTTAATATCAAAATAGACTTTAGAAAAAGGAATATTATGAGGGATAAAAAAGGGTATTTCACAATAGAGGGATCACATCAGTGAGAACACACAATCATAAATGTGCATGCGGCTGATATGTGAGTTTCTAAATACACGAAGCAAAACTGACAAAATTGGAGAGAGAAACAGATCCACAATTATGGTTGGAGATTTCAACACACCTCTTTCAGTAACTGACAGAACAAGTATATAGAAAATCATTAAGGATGTAGAAAACTTAAACACTGTCAACTGACTTGATATAATTGATTACCAGAAGACGCTATCCAAAACTAACTCATTCTAACACATTCTTTTGAGTACATGAGGAAAATCAATCAAAAGAAATCATATGCTGGTCCAAAAAACTAGACTCAATAAATTTAAAAGGACTGAAATCATACGGTGTGTGTTCTCTAACTGCAAAGGAATGAACGAAACTAGAAATCATTAATAGAAAGGTAGCTGATAATCCTTTAAATATTTAGAAGTTAAATAACACACTTCAAAATAACCAATGGGTCAAAGAAGAAATCACAATGGAAATTTTTGGACTGAATTAAAATAAAAAATACAATATATCAAAATTTGTGAGATGCAGGTACCAAACCAAAAAACCAAACCTGGGGCCGGCTGAGCTGATTCTGACTCACAGAGATCCTACAGGACAGAGCAGAACTGCCCCACAGGGTTTCCAAAGAACGGCTAGTAGATTCGAACTGCCAACCTTTTGGTTAGCAGCTGAGCTCTTAAGTGCTTAAAGGGAAATTTGTAGCTTTAAATGCTTATGTTAGAAATTATTTTATGGATAAAATGGAATAGAAACAATTTAAAAAGACCTGGTTGGTAGTCAAAGGCAGGTGAAATGAACAATTAATGCATACCACCCCCCTAGTCTGTTACGATGAAATAATTATTATAAGTTAAAATGAATTGTTTCACTCACTCATTTCTTCTTGTAGGGTTTCTTGTTTCTGCTTCTGAATTTTTATTTCCTGCTCCAAATCTTCAATCTTGCTGTTTTTATTAGTTAACTTTTGATTGAGTTCTTTCATCAAACGTTCATAATCAGCTATTTCCATATTCATCAGTGTGCTTTGTTGGGCATCCTACACACATCAGAAATAAAACATTCACAGACACATCAGTTCCTTTCATTCGTAAAAATGCTAAAATAATGCCACAAGAATGAACAGATTTCAATTATCCTTTTCTGTAATACAGAAATAGCTATACATTAATGAGGTAAGTAGAAGTTGGATACTTGTTCTAGTTTGTAATTTCACAAAATAAAGCATTTTCTAATAGTCAAATCAATCTTCTTAGTTTCTTTCTACTTTATTAAAACTTTCATTAACCATGATTGGCAGTTCTAGTCTGTGGGGGAACTATTTATAAAATATTAATATTCTAAGTGACTCTTACAGTATCTTTCTTTTTAGCCTTGTCTTTGAAAAAGTAGAGAAAAAATAGTTTTATGTGTAATACAAATGTCAAGTTTTCACATTAATTAAATCTTCTGTACACGACAGTCATGTACAGAAATGAAATGGCAAACCAAAATCTAATAATTTTTAATACTAGATTCTTCTGGAAAGACAGGTACTTACAGAAATAAGTTAAATTTTCAATTTTTTGAGGTTACGAATTTATGTTAACTCATTCTCACACATAAATGATTACTTTATACCACAAATAACTTCCTTTTTGAAATGTTGCTTTTCAATATGTATAGAATACTTCAGCGATGTGAATGTCAGACACAGGTGTTTTGACTCTGGTATTTTATTTTACCTTTCTAACCAGCTCTAATTCTTGCATGGTTTTCTGAAGCTGTTTCTTTTCCTTTTGAAGTTGTAGCTGAAGTTCTTCAAGTTCACTTACAGTACTGGCATGTTCCTAAAATTAAAAATAAAAACAACCTCCCAAACTCAGCCAACATTAAAAAGGTACTATAAAACACATCTGACATACTAAAAAAACGAAAAAGCTTGAAAATTTTTTAAAAAAACACACGCCAAAATCATAGCATGCGTTCTAAAATTTATAATTGGTATACATTAATGAATTAATGAACTCTGCTGTATTCACAAATGTTACTCCTCTGTAAATCTTTTTTTCATTTAAATAATATTCTGACAAATGTGACTCCACAGCAGTGGGTTTATATATAAATGAATCACTCTCACAGGACTGTTTTTACCTTCATCTTCTGCTCTTTCTGAAGTTTTTCAGCTTCTAATTCTTTGTCTGCTATTGCTTTGGCTCTTTGGACTTCTAAAATCTGTACTTCTAATAACTTGACATTAGACTGCAGTGTTTCAATACGAGCCACAAGATCTTCATTATCAGAATTCAATTTTTCACGCTAGAATGACAGATAATTCATTAGTGTAAATAAGCAGAATAAATACACAGGAGTAGAAGAATGAAACAGTATATTAATGAGAATAACAGCACAGTATGAAAGGTGAATACTTCAAATCAATTCTGCAGAATGACACTGTAAAATCAAGAATTAGTTTAAAAAACTGTAATTGTCAGTATTAATATGGCAAAGCTTATAAGAGGCCAGGAATACTGACAGAGGAAAAGGCAAAAATGACAACAGAGGAACTGAGATTGGAGTAATAAGATGAGAAGTTTGCTAGTTTTTCTCTCGAGTGGAAAAGAAAAAGAAGAAATTTTGTTTCTGATTATATATTAATTTTAACGTTTTAAACAAAAATATTTGGGATTAAAATTCACTTACTACAATTTTCATGTTTACATTCACTTAATTTAAAGTTACCTCAGCAACTGAATTCCTTAATTGCTTTGTAAGGTCTTCTATATGATGCTCAAAGTTGCTGGCACGTTCTTTTTCCACGTCCAATTGCTCTGACTGCTTATCATATTCTAATAAAAGATTCTTCAATAAAAGACAAAAGGACTTAACTTTAGGATACAATTACGCATTCAACTGGTCAGACGGCATCACCAAGCCATCCTGATTTAAGATTTGAGTCCATCCTGTTTACAGTATTTGCTCAAGTCCAACATTTGACAGTAGAATACCTAACCGGCATTAAATAATAAAATTAGCATAATTTAGATGAGTTTTAGTATGGGGAGAATTTATTAAAGAAGAGAAAATTTTAAATATCACAATATCGCCAACAAAAACAACAAACTTCTGAAACTTAAACAAAACCGAAGGAATGAGGATGAAAGGTTTAACCTGGACATCTAACTCCATCTAAAGAATTCTGAGAGAAATGTTCTAGGCCTGGCCTAAACAAGGTAGAGGTGCTAATGGAAGAACTCTGGAAGACATTATACATAAATACTGTTGTTGTTAGGTGCCACTGAGTCGGTTCCAACTCATAGCTACCCTACGTACAACAGAACGAAACACTGCCCAGTCCTGCACCACCCTAACAATTATTATGTTTGAGCCCATTGTTGCAGCCACTGTGTCAATCCATCTCGATGAGGGTCTTCTGCCTTTTCGCTGAACCTCTACTTTACCAAGCATGATGTCCTTCTCCAGGGACTGTTCCCTTCTGATAACATATCCAAAATACATGAAAGGAAGTCTCACCATCCTTGCTTCCAAGGAGCACTCTGGCTGTTATTTCTTCCAAGAAATACATAAATATAGTCTCTCACATTTTGCAGCTAAGCTATCAATATTATCTGTAGAATCCAAAAACAAATGAAATTTTTTTCATTGATATTTTTAATTTGCCTACGCCAAGAAATGCCCAGACTGACATTTCTGCTATACACCCAACCAACAAGTTTATCCCCCAAAATGCGTAACTGAGATTCACTGTCTCCAGACTGCCTGTAGTTGTTTACTCTCTCCTCTCCCTTACATATACTGTTTTTGCTTTTGTTCCTGAAGAACCACTGACTCTTTTCTTTTATATAAATGAATTTGCAGTTGAAATAACGAATGAAATGTTTCTGAGCTTTCTTTGAAAGTTTATTTCCGGAAGTGCCACTGAGACCTCATCTGGTTCCTAACATCAGAACTAAGGGCACTGTTTAGCCTGAAAGTGAACTTCATCTGGACCTGGACCCCCTGAGTCCTTGGCTCACCTTCCCTGGGATCCTCTGCCAAGTAAGTGACATGTCTAGCAATTCAGCTCTTTTTGGCTCTTGTGCACCATGTCTAATTCTTGGCCTAGCCTAATCTTGTTTCCAATTCTGATTTATGCATGATCAATTATTTGTCTATGTTAGTGGCTGAGTGTTAAAATCTGAATTTTGATTTTATGGCCTGCCCATTTAGTGATTTCTTTTGAGTGGCAGAAGACAGGAATTGGAAATCTAGAATTTGGTTTATTTATGGTCCTAATAGTTGTCAATAGTTGCAAAAATTGAACTGCGATACCAAGGCTGACTCTAATAAATAATGGATACTTACAGGAAGTTCTGACTTTAATCAAGTGTTATTTTTAAGGGGAGCCTTGGAACGAAAAAGAATGCCAAGCATTCAATGGTCAGTGTTCCTTGGTGGGTATGCTGAGGCTTATAAGCAAATCAATGATTACAAATTACTGTCCTTTCAGGACTTCAGAGTTCAGATGTTTAAAAAAAAAAAAAGATAAAATCATTATTATACGTGATATGGACACTGAAAAAAGAAACCGTATAGCCAAATTCAGAAGTGAACCACAAAACTACTCAGAATCTTAAAACTGACACTTCCTGAGGACATAGTTATGTTTGTTTTTATAAAAAGCAATTAACATTCTTAACCATATTAGTGCCTCTGATTCAACCTTGGAGCCCTGGTGGCGCAGTTGTTAAGAACTATGAAAAAGTCAGCAGTCTGAATCCCCCCGCCACTCCTTGAGAACCCTATAGGGCAGTTCTACTCTGTCCTATAGGGTTGCTATGAGTCGAAATCAACTCAACGGCAACGGGTTTTGTTTTGTTTTTTGATTCTACTTTAAATCCTGTTGCCTTATCACAACTGGAATCTTTAGTTTGTTCAAAGGTTGAGAAAAGTTTATAACTATGAACTATATATATATATTTTTTCTATTTATTTTTTTTATTGTACTTCAGGTGAAGGCTTACAGAACAAATAGTTTCTCATGAAACAGTAGTACACATATTGTTTTATGACACTGGTTAACAACCCCACAACATGTCAACCCTCTCCCTTCTCTTTTTTGTTTTTTTTTGGTGAAAATATACATAGCCAAAGATACACCATTTCAAAAATTTCTACATGCACAGTTCAGTGACATTGATACGCTCTTCCAATTGTGCTGCTATTCTCACTTTAGATGAAGGCTTACAGAACAAAATAGTTTCTCATTTAACATGAACTATATTTTTTAAACAAATAAATTGGTATACCTGGTTAACCTCTGGAGGAAATGAAGAAATTAGATTACAGGATCTCCTACAACATAAAGAAACCAGCTCTTGTTGTAACTGGCTCATAGACGACTAATAAATCCATATAAATTTTAAATAATTGTTTATAAAAAATAAATTTATACTATCTCTTTATATATTAAAGATGCAGATCCTCTGTCATATTTTCAAATATATATTTTACGTTTTACAGAGTTCAATCTAATAGTTTTTTCCTTTCTAATTTCTTAAATTGCTTTTAAGTTTAGAAAGGTCTTTCGTATCCAGAAGTCAGTTAAATAATGAAGTATTTTCTTCTAGGTTTTTAAAAAATGCTTTCATTTTTTTGACAAAACTTTTAATCCATCCAGAATTCATTTTGGTGTGTGGTATGAAGTAAAAATCTAACTAGATTTTTTCCGAACAGTTTTCTAATTCGTTCTTCATTGGTATCTACGTTTTAAAATCTTACTGGGGGAGTATGGTTTCTGCCTGAATTCCAATCCCAGCTGTTACTTTAATTGCTCTGTGACCCTGAAGGAGTCCATTAACTTCTCAGTGAGGCAGACTCCTTACCTGTAAATGGAGGACGGTAAAAAAACACTTAGCTCTTGGGGATGTTTTCAGATTTTAAATGTGTTAAGACAAGTAAAAGTGCTTACAGTAGAGTCTGGCTAAGTGTTTGTTGTCATGCAGAAAGAAGTCTCTCCTCTGTTACCTTAATCTCTCTACTGCTTCTTGCATCAGAAATACACCATATCAATTATTTTAGCTTGATAAAAATTTTTAGTTTGGGAGACCAACATGTCATTTTTCTCTCTTCGTTTTTCAAAAAATTTAGCTATTTTGTTAGCTTATCTTCCATTTGAAATGTAGCATAATTATCAAGATCTCGCCACCAAAAAAACCTAGAATTTTGAACAAAATTATTTTAGAACTTGTAAATCAACCTGAGAACTAATATTTCAAATAATATTCAGTCATCCTATATAAGTTCTGCCATTTTCTTCATTGAGTGCCAAAATTTCTCATTAAAGTTCTTCCTAAAATTTTATTTTGAAGTACTATGGGATTTTCTTCTCCCCATCAAATCCCACTTGATTATTGCTCATTCTATTTTTCAATATAGTGCATATAAGTACTACAGAAGTACTTGCATCTTCTATATACTACGTATATGTACATGCCACTCTGTCATATACTTATTTGCCTGTTACTGCCACTGGAAGTTAAGTCCTAAGAGGACAGAAACTTAGTATATCTGGTTGGCCACGATGTCTCCCTAGTATTTGTATAAATATCTCCTGAATGGATAAATGAATATAATTGTATCTTGCATTCATTGATTTTGCTACACTGATTTTTTACAAGATTCTCATGTTATCTAGGTACACAAGCATATTATTGCCAAATAATAATGCTCTTACCTTTCCACTAGACCTTTTGCTTAAGCTTCAGGCTTATGCACTTGGCCAGAACAATATTAACTAATAACAGTGACAAAGGCTATTCTTTTTTTACTGATTTTGTTTAGAAACCCCAAAATTAATACCAAAATCAGGTAAAGACACTACAAAAAAAGAAAATTACAGACCAACAGCCCTCATGAACATAGACGCAAAAATCCTCAACAAAATTCTAGCCAATAGAATTCAACAACATATCAAAAAACTAATTTACCATGACAAACTGGGAGTCATACCAGGTATCCTATACAGGGATGGTTCAACATTAGAAAAACAATCAGTGTAACCCATCACATGAATAAAACAAAACACAAGAACCACTTTATCTTACTGACTGATGCAGGAAAGGCATTAGACAAAGTCCAACACCCATTCATGATAAAAACTCTCAGCAGAACAGGAATAGAAGGGAAATTCCTCAACAAAATAAAGGACATTTATACAAAGCCAACAGCCAACATCATCCTAAATGGAGAGAGTCTGATAGCATTCACCTTGAGAACAGGAACCAGACAAGGATGCCCTTTATCACCACTCCTATTCAACACTGTGCTGGAGGTCCTAGCCAGAGCAATTAGCAAAGGAAAAGAAATAAAGGGCATCCAAATTGGTAAGGAAGAAGTAAAAGTATCTCTATTTGCAGATGATATAATCTTATATACAGAAAACCCCAAAGAATCCACAAGAAAACTACTGGAACTAATAGAAGATTTCAGCAAAGTATCAAGATACAAGATAAACATATAAAAATCACTTGGATTCCTCTACACCAACAAAGAGAACTTCAAAGAGGAAATCACTGAATCAATACCATCTACAATACCCCCAAGAAGATAACAGACTTAGGAATAAATCTAACCAGAGATGTGAAAGACTTATACAGAGAAAACTACAAGACACTACTGCAAGAAACCAAAAGAGACCTACATAAGTGGAAAAACATACCTTGCTCATGGACAGGAAGACTCAGCATTGTAAAAATGTCAATTCTACCCAAAATGATCTACAGATACAATGCAATCCTGATCCAAATTCCAATGACATTTTTTAATGAGCTGGAGAAACAAATTATCAACTTCCTATGGAAAGGGAAGAGGCCACAGATAAGTAAAGCACTACTGAAGAAGAAGAACAAAGTGGGAAGCCTCACACTATTTGATTTTTGAACCTATTATACCACTGTGGTAGTCAAAACAGCCTGGTACCGGTACAACAATAGATGCACAGACCAATGGAACAGAACTGAGAATCCAGATATAACTTCATCCACCTATGAGCAGCTGATATTTGACAAAGGCCCAAAGTCTGTTAATTGGGGAAAAGACAGTCTCTGTAACAAATGGTACTGGCATCGCTGGATATCCATCTGAAAAGACTGAAACAAGACCTATACCTCACACCATGCACAAAAACTAACTCCAAATGGATCAAAGACCTAAATATCAAATTGAAAACGATAAAGATCATGGAATAAAAAATACGGGCCACGCTAGGAGCCCTAACACATGGCATAAACACAATACAAACCGTAAGTAACAATGCACAACCACCAGAAGAGAGACTAGATAATTGGGAGCCCCTAAAAATCAAACACTTATGCTCATCAAAAGACTTCACCAAAAGAGTAAAAAGACAGTCTACAGACTGGGAAAAAATTTTTGCCTATGACATATCCAATCAAGGATATGTCTAAAATCTACAAGACACTGCAAAACCTCAACAACAAAAAGACAAATGACCCAATTAAAAAATGGGCAAAGGATATGAACAGATACTTCCCCAAAGAAGACATTCAGGCAGCTAACAAATACATGAGGAAATGCTCATTAGCCATTAAAGAAATGCAAATCAAAACCAAAATGAGATACCATCTCACCCCAACAAGGCTAGCACTAATCCAAAAAACACAAAATAATAAATGCTGGAGAGGCTGTGGAGAGAATGAAACACTTATACACTGTTGGTGGGAATGTAAAATGGTACAACCACTCGGAAATCGATTTGGCGCTTCCTTAAAAAGCTAGAAACAGAAGTACCATATGATTCAGCAATGCCACTCCTTGGAATATATCCTAGAGAAATAACAGCTGTCACACGAATAGATATATGCACACCCATGTTCACTGCAGCACTGTTTATGATAGCAAAAAGAAACAACCTAGATGCCCATCAACAGACAAATGGATAAACAAATTATGGTACATACACACAATGGAATACACAACAATAAACAACAATGATGAATTTGTGAAACATCTCACAACATGGATGAACCTGAAAGGCATTATGCTGAGTGAAATTAGTTGCAAAAGGACAAATAGTGTATGAGACCACTATTATAAGAGTGAGGGGAGGAAGGAGACAGGAATTCACTACTAGAGAGTAGACAAGAATCATCTTAGGTGAAGGGGAGGACAACACACAATACAGGGGAAGTCAGTACAACTGGACTAAACCAAAAGCTAAGAAGTTTCCTGAACATGATCAAACACTCTGAGGGACAGTGTAGCAGGGGCAGGAGTCTGGGGACCATGGTTTCAGGGGACATCTAGGTCATTTGGCATAACAAAGTTTATTAAGAAAATGTTCTACATCTCATTTTGGTGAGTGGTGTCTGGGGTCTTAAAAGCTTGTGAGCGGCATTCTAAGATGCATCAGTTGGTCCCAACCCACTTGGAACAAAGGAGAATGAAGAACATCAAAGACAGAAGAATGTATTAGCCCAAGAGACAAAAGGGGCATACAAATCAGAAACTCCATCAGCCTGAGACCAGAAGAACTAGATGGTGCTCAGCTACCACCAACGACGGCCCTGATACGGAACACAACAGAGAACCCCTGACGGAATAGGAGACATGTGGTGCAGAACTCAAATTCTCATAAAAAGACCAGACTTAATGCACTAACTGAGATGGGAGGAACCCTTGAAGCCATGGCCCCCGGATGCTCTGTTAACCCAGAACTAAAACCATTCCGGAAGCCCACTCTTCAGACAAAGATTAGACTGGGGTATAAAACATAAAATAATACTTGTGAAGAGTATTCTTAGTTCAGGCAGATACATGAGACCAAATGGGTGGCTCCTGTCCAGAGGCAGGATGAGAAGGCAGGAAGGGAAAGGAGCTGGCTGGACACGGGAAACCTGGGGTGGAAAGGGGGAGTATGCTGTTACATGATAGCGATTGTACCCAGTGTCACATAACAATATGTGTATAAATTTTTGTTTGAGAAATTAACTGGAGCTGTAAACTTTCACGTAAAGCACAACAATACTACTACTACTACTACAATGGGTTAAAAGAAAAATGAATTTGCCTGCACAGGTTTGCACTTCATCAGTTGTTAAACTTTGTAACAGAAAATATACTGAATGTGCCATATGCTCTTTCTATAAAGTCTACAGACATGAAAACAAAAACAAAAACAAAAAACCCAAAATTAAACTTTACTTTAAAAAAACAAACAGCTTAAAGGAACCATTTATAGCTTAGTGACTTAAAATTTTGGTACTCAAAGTATATACCTTATTCCACATGCGTATGTATGCAGGTATGCACACACACGCAGAGAAATTCCTAAAAATACAAGGTGACTGTTTTATGGAGTAGAGTTTTACATTTCCAGTTATTTTCTTAATTTAGAAAATATAAATATAACTTGTTAATAATTAAAACACCTATTTTTACCTTGTAGCTTTCTGCTCCTTGAATGAGATCTCTCATGGAAGCAGACAACTGATCCTTTTCTGATCGAAGGGACTCAAGCTCTTCCCTTAAAGTCTGGGCCTATTTTAAATATAGATTAAAGTTAAGAGCTTTTTTCACAAAGAGAAAACCTTTGATTTTCTAAAACATAAGACTCAAGAATCTGTCATTGCTAGGTCATCTTACCTCTTTTCTGCTAGAATCAAATTCTTTCTTTGCCTTCACAGCAACTAGCTTTACCTTATTTATTTTCTCCTCTTTTTCTCTGGATTCTTTTTCCAGATTTTCTAAAAATGAGAAAATTAAAGGATTATATATGAACTCAAAAGGAAAAAATTGAAAATGTTCAACTTATTTTCTTATTTTAGCCCTAAAAATTATTTTTTTTTGGAACACAAACTCTGCAAATTGAAATTAAAAGTCCTAAGCAGCAAAAACACTAACAATTTTTTAAAAAGTGAGAGCTTATTCATTATCTAAGTGAGGCAAACACTATGTAAACATTTTTCATTTTTTTCCATCCTGCACAACAGCCTACTTTTTTCAGCCATTTCACAAGTGCCTAGGAATCGGAGAGGATGTTAGGACTTCTTTCCTGTTAAGATTTCCTTGCAATGATGGCATTAGGATTTTTGGTGGTTAATGTGGAAATCAGGATGAAGTAGAGGACACATCATCAGACAGAGTCAAATATTTACACTCCCTAGGCACACTCTTCCTCTTGGCTGCTGGACTTCATTTTGATCACTAAGCCGGTAATATATTTCACCTATCCAATGTAATCCTCCCCTTAACCTGTTTAGTTACCTCCCTATCTGAACTCCAGTGTTCCTGACCTTACTTCCTTGATGACATCTTTACTTAACTTCAGATTATGATCCGAATTTCTGTCCCTCTTAATCTACTTACACCTAGCCCAAATACTCTGCCTTCTGTCTGGCGTGAACTGTGTGTGCAGCAAAGGCCAAGTACCCTACTTCACTTCTGCATTTCATCCCATATTTTCTCGCCGACAAAGCCATCAGTGCAGCAATTTTCTCCCTGTCTTCTGTATCAAGTTCTTTCTATCCATGGATTTTTTTCTAACAGTCTCTAAACATGCAAGAAAGCAAACATGTCAGAAAAAAAAATAAGGCCAGAATAGCAGAGGCAGCTAGAAAGGGTAAGGGAGAGATCAAGATAGGATTGGTAAAATGTTACAAGGTGGTGTTTTATTTCTCATAAAATACATAAACCACAATTCCCCTTTAGATATTGTCCATCTGTTCCTTCTTTTATAGTAAAATTCTACGGAAGAGTTGTCTGCATACACTCTCAAGTTTCTCTCTGTTTCTTCCTGATCCATTTCAACAGTGCTTCTGGCTCCAGCACCTCACCAAAACTGCTAGTCCAGTTTCCAATGACCTCTGTGCTGCTTCATCCAATGGCTAGTTTTCAGTACTCATCATCTTATTTACTCATTGGCAGCATTTGCCATGGTTAAACATTGTCTCCTTCCAAAAACACTTTCAAGACATTTTATGCTCCAGATTTTTCCATCTCACTGGTTGCTCCTTCACAGTCTCCTTTGTTGTTTCTGTCTTCCTGGTCTTTACAAGATGAACAGTCTCTGGTCCTCATCTTTTTTTCTACACTCACTTCCTTGGTGAGCTCAATCTCACGACTTTAAATGCCAACTACTAAATTAACTACATTTTGTTTTTATCTTTAGCTTGATTCTCTCCCTTTAACGCCAGATTTGCATATTCAACAGGCTACCTGATATCTCCACTTGGACTGATGTTTAAATTTACAACTGAGTTACTGATCTCCCCCTATTTCAACTTGCCGCTTTAATCATTCTGTCATCTTAGTAAGTAAATGGTATCTCTATTCTTTCAGTTGCTTATACTAAAAACTATGTTGTCATTCTTGTCGCTTCCATTTTTCTTGTAGGTCACACCAGATTCCTCAGTACGTTCTGATGGCATTACCTTGAATGTACATCTAGAATCTGACTTTTCATCCCTTCTACTGCAACTACATGATCTAAGCCATGATCAGCTCTCACGGAGATTACTACGGCCTCCTAGCTTGGTCTCCTTCTCTTGCTCCTTTCAATGTAGTATATTTAACAAAGCAGTCAGGAGGATCCCGTTAAAACCTAAGTCACAGCATGTCTCTCTTCTGCTTAGTCTGCTGATTGCTTCCCAGCTTGCCTATAGGTAGTCAAAGACCTTACAGTGGCATACAAGGCCCTACAGCATCTGGGCTCCTATTACCTCTGACCTTGTCTCTTTATCCTCCTCTCTTTCACTCCATTCCAACCCTACTGGCCTTGTTGCTTTTCTTAAAATGCAGGCTCCTGATACAGGCTTGCTGTTCTTTCTGCCTGAAAACTCTTAACCCAGATTATTGCATTACTTGCTCCCTCACTTCTTTCAAGTCTTAAATGTTTCCTTCTCAGTGGCAACACTATCTAAAATGCACCTTCCTCCTAACCCCCCAAATTAACACTCATCTCCCTCCGATTTCTCTTCTTAGCACTCATCTCTAACTTACTATGTATTTTATTTTTCATCTTGCTTATTGCTATCTCCTCCCTTTTACAGCTAGAACGAAAGCTCCATGAAGGCAGGGAATTTTGTCTTGGCTACTACTGATCCCCTACATCTAGATTTGTGCCTGGCCCATAGTAAACAATAAATATGTACTGAATGAATGAATTAATGAATAAAACTAAACCAAAATGTGATTATTCCTTTATTTGATGTCTGATTTTTGCACTTCTGATCTAGATTGTATGCCCCAATTAACGTTTTAACTTAAATACGTTTACTGATAATAAGGCTCTAAATATTCACACTAGACTTGTTTGGAAAAAAAAAGGTATCAGACCACTTTTTCTTTTTATCATTTGTACAGGTGTCCAAACAGTAAAACACAAAACTGGTAACTGGCCAAGAAATAAAAATAAAAAACTACAAAGAGTATTCTTCCTAACAAGAAACTATTTGACTCTTTTACAAAGCAAAACGAGGAACAAGTATCATTAAATTGTCACTCTCCAAAAAGAAAGATTAGAATTTTTTCTCCTAAACTTCTTTGTCTTGTTACCTTTGCGATTTCATTTCTCCCCTAGACTGCTAATCCATAATGTTTGTCTTCAGCAAACTAAGGCCAATGGGTCAAATCTGGCCCGCACTTGTTTTTGTACAGCCTATGAGCTAAGATTGATATTTTTAACATTTTTAAATAACTGAAAAAATAAAAATCAAAAGAATACTATTTCATGACGTGGAAATCACATAAAATTTATATTTTGGTATCTATAAATAAAGTTTTACTGGAACACAATTACCTTCATTTACATACTGCCTACAGCCACTTCTGCGCCACAATGGTGGGGCTGAATGGCTGTGACAGAGCATATGGCCCACACAACCTAAAATATTTACTACTTGGCCCTTTACACAAATATCTGCTGGCCTCTGTTTTAAATGGTTAAGGTAAAACCACAAGATAGTAAATTTAACTAATACCTATTATTAAAAGTGTATTATTGCTAAATTATTTATTATTAGCAATAATCATCTAATATGATTTTATTAAGTACTTCAAAATCATTTCATTGAAATTACTCTAGCCAGACTGTGTTCTGGATGGTTCTACTGATCTTCTCAAAGACTGATATTGCTTATTATTTCTAGCAAAAACAAAAAAAGCAAGATTACTTGAATTATGAAATAAAATTTAATATTTAAAAATGTTAACATGTTTTTTGTCCAGATCTCTTCTAATAAAGATGATGGATGGATTAGGAATCTTGCTTTCCTATTCCGGATAAATCCTATAGTCATTCCTTTTCATTCACAGATGGAGGGCACATTAACTAATAACACTCTCCAAGTGAGTATTTGACAGGAGACAATTAACAAACGTGGATGGATAAAGGTGATTTGAACAGAAAAAACTGAGTTTTTATTTTTAGGATATTATAATATGTAGAAAGGAGAGACAAGAAATTAAACAAAACACAGAGGCTGTCTTTCCGCTATTAAGCATAACGACCCACTATGTTTCTAATTAACTCTGTTAGGGCTCTGTCACCCGAACAATAAAAATATTATCTCTAAATCAAGTCAAGAAACGAAATTAACACTGTTGATTGGAGTCATAATGTATTTAGCAAGTTACATACTGAAACAGCCAAATTCACCACTGGCACCCCAAACCTAGGTAAATTAACTCTTAAAATGCTTTTAGGTTCTTTATATCACCTGACATACTCATCTTTGCTTTCCTCCTAGGATTGCACATGCCCACGTCAGGGATTAGAAGAGCTGATGTATTTGAATTCTACTGTTTTGTAACCAAAGAAGGATGTTTGTTAAAATGGATTTCGAAGGATCTTTAAAAGGGTCTTCTTCTTAGGGCATATGATAAACTTTACTGTTAATAAAGCAACATTCAACAAAATATGCCACTGCAAACACACGTTCTTCTCTTGTCCTAATTTGCACTCAGTCATTCAACGAATATTTGTTAAACACCTACTACGCACTGGGTATGCCAGTGTGAAGGTAATTATAGATTTCACGATCTCTATGTAGGCCAACATAAATGCCTACGCCTTCTGATCTTGCTGCTAGTTAATTCACTTCCTCCTTAAGTCAGAGAGAGCATCTTCGAGATTATGTCTGTAACTGTCTAGAATATGAAAGATCCACATAAAAGTCAACTAAATATACACTTCTTTCCTACCTGCAGTGATAAAATTTGTACTGTCATTCATATAATTTAAAATATCACTTCCAATGGAACAGAAGACTCACACTTCCCATTTACAACTCAGTATCTTCTAGTTGTGATAATTAAAAAATTATGCTCGGGTCACTAAGTTGCAAAGCATAATATCAGGACTGTTTTTCATCATAATCTTACCTGCATTTTTTAAGCATTATTAATGCCAGTTATTGAAGGTTTATCATGTTTGGGACAGTTAATAATTGAACAGAAGACAATACTGTATTTTCACACAAATAACGCATGCCTTCTGTGTTTGTCTGCCGGCCGCGCCCTCCCCGCACAAGGCACCCTCACAAGCACTCCATGCCAATCCTCTTCCACATGTTCCTGTTAAAAAAATTAGCATAGCAAGCTTACAAAAATTCCTCGCAGGGGGAGGGCGCGGCTGGCAAACAAACGCAGGAGCTGCGCATTATTTGCGTAAAATACGGCAAATCGGGAGAAAACTACACTGTCTGATGACAAACTATTTTATGACACTTAAGAAATGGTTTAATAAGTCCATCTCTGGTAGAATTTACAAGTATTCTGAAGACATAACACCATTACCTAAAATCTATTCTCCACTGGGAAACTACTACTGAGATCAGCAGTACTAGACAGACATCAAAGAAGAAAAACGGAACTTTTAGAGACTGTAAGTCGTATGGTGCGCTTTCTGTCCCAGACAGTTGTGTGTATTTCAGAGCAGTTATCTACTCGGTTCTGAAAATCTTAAAAGAAAAAGCTCATCTTCTTTGGGAATGAATTAATCCACACGGGTATATCAACTATGCTTTAAGTACCATGCTGTTGTTGTGTGCCATCAAAGTTGTTTCTGATGCATAGCGACCCTAGAGGACAGAATAGAATTGCTGAGCGCTTAACCACTGTGCCACCAGGCTCCTTAAGCACTATGCAAGGTTCTTAAAAAAAAAAAAAGGGAGTGTATATACAAGGATGAATAAAGCTTTTACATCTTCGTACGGCAGACTTGGGAAACTGGTGGCATAGTGGTTAAGTGCTACGGCTGCTAACCAAAAGGTCAGCAGTTCAAATCCACCACGCGCTCCCTGGAAACTCTATGGGGGCAGTTCTACTCTGTCCTATAGGATTGCTATGAGTTGGAATCAACTCGACGGCAACGGGTTTTGGACGGCAGACTTGAGTTTACATTCTGGTTTCCAAAATCAACTTTTTTAAGTTTCAATTATATAATGGAGATACCTATCTATCTTGCAGGCTTATTCTAAGCCCCATAAATGTAAATATAAACTACAAGGCAAAGTGCCTGGCATATAGGAGCTCCTCAAACAGTAACCATATTTTTAAGCTACTATGTACTGAATGGAGTCCTGGTGGTACAGTGGTTAAGAGCTTGGCTGCTAACCAAAGGGTCGGCAGTTCAAATCTACCAGCTGCAACTTGGATACCTTATGGGGCAGCTCTATTCTGTCCTATAGGGTTGTTACGAGTTGGAATTGACTTGACGGCAACAGGTTATTTATTGAATAAGGAGCTTTGGTGGTGCAGTGGGTAAGTGCTCAGCTGCCAATCGAAAGGTTGGTGGTTTGAACCCACCAGCTGCTCCGTGGAAGAAAGATGTGGCAGTCTGCTTCTGTAAAGATCAGACCCTAGGAAACCCTACAGGGCAGTTGTATTCTGTCCTATAGGGTCGCTATCAGTTGGAATCGACTTGACAGTGATGGGTTATTTATTGAATATGTACTAAGTACCACATATCACTCTAAGTACTTACTATCTGCTTTGATTTTCATAAAAGCTCTATGATGTAAGGTAGTATCAACACCATAGAGGGTTGATCAAATTGAAGAGTGTGTTGTGTGTGCCAGGATTAAAACTCAGGACTGCCAGACTCCAAAACTTGTACTCTTTATCGTTTTACATGTTTTCCTCATATTTGGGTGACAGAAGTAAACTCCAACCACTAATCCAGAAACCTAAGACTCATTCTAACCTCCTTTTCATCACACCCTCTCCCCAGTCTAATTGGGCGTAAGTTGAATCATTGGCACATTATGTAACACTTTAGAGTCTTTGTTTCCTCATCATTAAATGGGAATGAAAGAGCTATCCTGTAACATTACTATAAAAAATGAAGGGATGGATAAAGTCCAAATCCCTCTGCATACAACACTAGAGCTTTTAGGACCGGACTTCTGCTTCGCCGGGACGTTACTAACATGTCCCTAGATGTTATATATGTTCACGCACACGTATGTTTTACAAACACACACACGTTAAAAAAGCACTTGCTATGCCCTCTTGCTAGAATACCTTTCTTCTTGTGTCAAATTTCTTGTTCTTCAATACCTAGGTCAAGTATAACCTAATCTGTGATGTATTTCCTAAGTCAAAACAGGCAGTCCATCATGCCTTCCTCCATCGCCAGCACTGTAACTTGTCCATAACACAAACTACTACAATTACAGCCTTGCCTAGGCACTGAGCTCTTGGAGGACATGGTCTATATCTTTCTATTACCAGTGCCAAAAACAGTTTGGCATTCAAAATAAAGTTTGCTGAATGAATGAAAAATCCAAATGCAACAATGGAATCATTTATAAATGATATCACACCATTCCTTTGTTTGGACTAACCAAAAGAAAGTGAGAGTTTTGAAAGGGAAGGCAAACAGCTGGCCAACATGGAAGGATAGTGCAATCAGCAAAAGACATCAGTTTATTGTGCTTTTAACAACTCATTAATTGGCCAGCATATCTCCCAACCTATTTTAATAGTAACAAGAATCTAACTAGTTATATTAAAACTGAGACATCATATGCAAAACCAGTTACCTATTTTTTCTTCCAGCTCTTTCACTGAGGAAGTTTGATCATTTTTTACAGAAGACGATTTCTCTAAGGAATCCTAGATTTTATAGGAAAAACAAACAAACAAACAAAAACGTAACTTACTTCATTACCCATAATGAACTGGAAATCATGAGAACAATCAGTATCAAAGAGAATTTACATAAAAAGCAATTTTGGTAGTCTTTTTTTCCTTGGTAGACCAGGTAATATTAACCTTATGCATATAGCATTTACTGTAAAAAACAGCATTATCAAAGGCCAAGATGGACAACTTGACACACTGCAACATACAATATAATAAGGAAAAGATTAAATGATGATTATAATTTACCACACTTTTACTTCACAAGTTTTGGAGAAGACTTAAAAGTTTAGCCAAAGGGAAGTATCTCTACAGCCCACATTTTTACTCAATAGTTTTCTACACATACAGGTAGTATGTACAGCACGTGCAATTGAAATTCAAGTTTTTTCATGTTTAGTTGAGCTTCTGCTAGTAACTAATTGGTACAATTTGGACAGATTATTTAAATCCCTAATCATTTAATCTTATGTAAGTTCAAGATTTTAAAATTATCTAAAACCCCCAAAATGACCAATGTAATAAACAGGATACACAAAATGAAAATGTTGAATGTACTTTTTTGAAATTTGCCATTTGAACTTAAATGCTAAAAACTGTAAATATATTTATATACCCCAAATATTAATATATATAACATACATATTAGTATATATACTTTATGAATATAAAGTACTATAGAACTAATAATTTATTCAAATCAATGCTAGAAAGACAATTTAACAAATAAAATTTAAATAGTACCTTTAGTAAGGCCAGCTCTGCTCTTACATCTTGCAATTCAGATTCTTTTTGTTCTAGTAATGATTTTAGGTTTTCATGTTCCTTTATAAATAATTTTTCATTATGAATTTCATTTTCGCTCTCTAACAATTTTTGAGATACTTCTTCAATCTGAATTAGAAGATTCTGGTTTTCAAGCCTTGTTTTTTCATTAGCATTCTTCATTTCTAGAAGATCCAGCTGGAGGGCCTCTTTTTCTGACAGGGTTTCTTCTAACTCTTTCTTTAGGAGTACTTTCTCTTGCTCATAGTCTTCTAGTAAAGACCTAAGTTCCTCACACTGAACTATGTGCTCTTCTTGAACGCACTTAATCTCTTTTTCTAACTCTAATACCCTTTCATCATATTGAGAAACTAAGTTGTGTTTTTCCTCATTCATTTTTGCTAAGGATTCACCTACAACTTGTAGGATATTTACAACATCTTGCTCTTCGTTATCTTCTGAAACTTTTAACCCCATCTGTTCAAGAAAACCGTACAACTGGGTTTTGACAAACAACTTCTGAAGCTGCTCATTTTCAAACAATCTACTACAAGTATCTCGCTCTTCAACTGTTAACTGAAATTTCTTCTCTAACTCAGTAATCTGTTCTTTAAGCCGAACATCCCCTTCTTTTTGAGATAGAAGAGCTTCCAAATCGCTACTCAACTGGCTCTTTTCTAAACTCAGTGTATTATTTTCCTCATACAGTAACTTCACTTTAGATGACAGTGCTTCCTGGTCCTGACAGAGAATTTTAACTTGTACCATAAGCTTTTCTAGTTCTTGGTCATTTTGGTCCTTTCGTTTTAAAGTCTTTTCTAGCTCTTCTGTTAATTCATTTACCTTTTGCTTTAGTTCGCTGTTGTACTGGGTAGTTTGCTCCACTCTCTCCGTAAGTTCTGTAATCAATCCTTCCTCCCTTTCACATTTTTTATGGAGAGTATCCATCTCTTCGTGAGAATTTTTCATTTTATTTATGAAACCATCGTTTTCCTCAGTCAGAGAACTGATCTTTGCTTCCAATTCTTGTAACATGGTATCTCTCTGACTGAGACTAATTAAATACTGTTCATTCTTTTCTTGAAGGCTTTTTATGGTATTTTCAAGCTCTGGTACTAATTCTTGTTGAGATAATAATTTTTTCTTTTCCCCCTGGAGACAATTCACAGTTTCAAGAAGAGCATCTTTTTCATTAAAAGCAGTTCTGAGCTTCTGCTGCAGTTCATGAACATCAGAAGCTTGCTGTTGCTTCAGTGATTCAAACTCTTGACTTATTTTGCCAGCAGACTCCCCTAGTTCTGTTTGTAAGATTTCCATAATCTCTCGCAAACTCTCATAATTTAAGATTGCATCTTGCTTTTCTTGCTGTAGATTTTCGCATAGTTCCTTAAGACCCTGTATTTCAAACATTAATGTTAATTTTTCTTTTTCTGAACCTGACAAAAATGTCTCATTTAGTTCTGCTATTTCTTTTTGATGTTGTTCCTTAAGACTTTGTATTTCTTTATTATGTTGTTCTACAATACAGCAAAATTTTTTATTTGCATCTTCTAGCTCAGATTTTAATTTTTCAATTAGCCAGCCCTGTTCTTCTTTAGCTAGTAATAGTTCATTAATTTTAAATTCTAAGTCTTCCCGCTCATGGAAAAACTCATCCTTTATATGCTGGGCATCCATTTCCAGTTTTAATTTAAGATTATTCATGTAAGTTACCTCATCTTTCAAGATACTATGTTGTGATTCTAGTTCTTTTAAGGTATCTTCTAAGTGTCTGACTTTTTCATTCGCCGCTTGTTCTACAACAACATCTTCTTGTAAGAGTACAGAACATATCTGTTTTTCTTGGTTTGCACTTGAGGCTTTCCTCAAGTTTTCTAATTCACATTGATATTTCTCCTGAATGTTCTTCTCCTTCGCCTCACACTGTTTTACTAAGTTCTCCTTTAGCTGATTCAACATATTTACTTCTGCTTCATGTTCTTTAGCAGAGGTTTCAATTCGGCACATCAAGTCCTTTACCTCTTCCTCGTGCATAGCTTTCAAGTGCAAAAGTTCTTCTTGTAAACTATTAATATCTCTTTGGTGATCCTGAGAATTAGCCTCAATGACTTTGTGGAGATTATTAATTTCTTGCTTCTTTTCATTAGTGGTAGCTTCTAATTGCTTTTGCAGATATAAAATTTGCTCCTCATAGGCTGGCCGGATTTTCTGAATCTCATCTTGCAGTTTTCTAACATTATTTTCAGAGTCATTCCGAAATTTAAGTTGTTCTGAAAGCTCTAATTGTTTCTTCACTGCTTCTTCCAGCTCCTTTTGCAAGCTCTCTTTATCTTCACTGTGCTGAGAATGTACTGCTATCAATTCATTTTTCAAACTTTCAATTTCTTTCACGTAGTTTCTATGTGATTGTTCAAACTCCTTGTGCAGATCTTCCACCTTAGTTACAAAATCCTTTAAAAATAAGCATACATACATTATTTAAATAAGATAAAAGAAATCTCTGCCACCAGAAAATATTAGCCACAGGCTAACTAGAGAGAAAAGAAACGAGCAGAAATGAACACAGAGAAGCACGATGGTGAGATTCCAAGAATTCTACTTCACCCTTTCCTATCATAAGCATGACAAAAGATACCAGCAGCACTAAAACCTGTTGCCCAAAGTCATAACTAAAAGCTGGGAAATCTCCGATGTTACTTAAGTCACAAGGCTTTAACTAACAACTCCTGAATTGATTACAAAGAGGTTTTTTGGAGAAAATTTAGCCTGGACCTAATAAGCGAAACCATACTGAGAAAATGGAAAAATGATTTAAGGACTATCCTTCAATCGAACATATAACGGTATTTAGAATATGTGTGAAATTAATTCATATAAATGTGTACTTTTTCATAAAATCAGTACTTTTTTCATTTTTTATTAAAGAGTGATGTTACAGCTATAAGAAAGACTAACAATACAATAAGTAAATGTTAGTTCTGTCTCTACGCAGTTAGATGATTTCAGTTATTTTTCTTTTAAAATTTCAGTTTCTGAGTTTCCCCATTTATGTTAAAACTGGAGTAGATGCTTTTCAAAGTCTTATCTCTAAAATTTATGACTATACTATTCATATACTAAATCAAAAAACCCATTGCCATCGAGTCGATTCCAACTCATAGCGACCCTACACAGGACACAGTAGAACTGCCCCATAGGATTTCCAAGGAGTGGTTGGTGGATTTGAACTGCTGACCTTTTGGTTAGCAGCCAACCTCTTAACCACTGTGTCACCAGGGCTCCACTATTTATATAAGTTAGTAAAACGAAACAAACATATTAAAATATTTCCTTACCTCAACCTCTTGCTTCATTTTAACATTTTCTTTCTTCAGAGCAAGATACTGTTGCTCCGTCTCTGCCTTTTCCAGGAGAATAGCATCCAGATGTTCAGTCAATGCCTGTTTTGGAATAGGACGATATGTTTGCCTGAGGTTAAAAACGGTATAATTATCTCCTCACCTTTTTCAAACCACTGTAAAATGAGAATAAAAAGTTTAAAAACAAACACACAAAAAAACAAAGAGAAAAGGAGAAAAGACATCAGAATATAAGAGATTTCAACACATTTTTTGGAAAACTGAAAGCATATGGAGAGAAGAAACTGACTTAGATGAGCAAAGCTACAAGCTAAGGGCCCGCACAGAGAAAACACCTATGAGAAGCTGGCAAAGGCTCTTTGGAAAACTAAAGGCTCAGGAATTGGAGGCACCAGGTATCGCTGAGGAGGTGTAATGTGTGGGTCTCAAAAAGTGGGGACTGGTCGACAACCTGTGTAGGGAGTGGCTATGCGAATAGGCAAAAAATAACCAATGTCCCTTCTCCCTCAGACACAGATTTATTCTCTGCAGAAATTGAAAGGGAGAGGAAGTTAGTGAAATAACAGTTCAACACGCCAAAAGTCAGTTCTTTGAAAAGCTAATAAAATAGACAACCTCAACCAACACTATCAAGAGAAGACAGAAGTCATAAGAAATACTATGAATAAAGAGGGGACACAACTACATATATATCAAAGATTAAAATGTTAAAGAGAATATTATGAACAACTAATTGCCAATAATACTAAAAACAAATCAAATGGATAAAAATTCCTAGCAAATTATAGCTTTATTGACTCAAGAAAAACTATTAAAAGCATAATACTATAACTATTTAAGAAATCAAAGCAGTGGCTAAAAATTGTCCAACAAAGAAAACAGGAAGGCCTAGATGGTTTTACAGGTGAGTTGTATCAAGTTTTTAATCAACATATCATCCCAATTTCATACACACCTGTCTAGACAAAATAAAAAAACTAGAAAAATTCCCAAATTATTGTACTAAATTGGCAAAACTTGATACCAAAATCCAAAGACTTTCCAAGAAAGGATATCACACTCACTTCATTCATGAGTCTAGATGCAAAAGTCCTAAAGAAAACATTATATGATTCCCACTTCTAACCAACATTCTATTGGAGACACTAGTAAGTGAAATAAAGCATAAAAAAAGACATGAGGCATAAAAATTGGAAAATAAAATTGTTATTATTTGCAAATGATGTGACTGTTACATAAAAATAAATCTAGAAGAAGCTATATACAATTAGAAACAATGAAGAACTTGGTAAAGTAGCTGGATATTAAGATTAACAAAGTCAGTTTCATTTTTGGACAGTATAACAATTAGAAAACGTAATTAAAAAGAAGACCCTACTTATAATAGTATCAGAGAACATCAGTTATCAAGGAATAACTTTACCAAAAATGTGTGAAGAACTTCTACGGAGAAATTATAAAACTTCATAGATTCCATGTAATTCTAATCAATTCCAACAGGGCTTTCATAAAATCTGACAACATGATTTTAGAATACATACGGGAAAGCAAAAGACCAAGAATAGCCAGGATACTTCTAAAGAGAAAAGAGGACTTACCCTACCATGTATCAGGATCTACTATAAAGCTACAGAAAATAGTGGCAAAGGAATAGACGCACCCCCCCACCAAAAAAAATCAGTGGAATACAAAAAAAAGAGTCCAGAAACAGAGAAACGGACTGAGGCATGTTTTGAATGACAGTAGTACATCAGTTTAGAAAGACTGTTCAATAAATAGGGTTAGAAAACAACAGTTATTCATATTGAGAAAGATGAAACTGGAGCTTTACTTCACACCATATTAACTGAAGTCAACTCCCAACAGATTAAGACTTAAAATATCAAAAACATAACTTAAAACTTTTAGAGAACATGTTTTAAACCTTAGGATAGAAAGATTTCTTACATATAAAAGTTTGCTGTATCTGACTATATTAAAATTAAGAACTTCTGAGCATCATAAAACATAAAAAGTGAAAAGACAAATGAAACTGGATGATACCACACACATACAACCAACGAAGGAAAAACATAAGGGATATATATATATAAAATTCTACGAATCAGTAAGAGCACCAATGGTTTATTAAGAAAATTGGTGTTGGACAAAACACATGTAACCGATACAAATATTCAACATAATTAGCGGATAAGGCAATGCAAATGAAGACCACAATGAGCTAGTATTTCACACCTATCTGACCGGCAAACATTAAAATGTCCAGCAATACCAAGTGCTGGAGAGGATATGGATGTACATACACTGTTGGTGCAAGTGTAGGTTATTTCAACCACTTTATAAAGCAATTTGGCATTATCTGCAAAAGCTGAACCTTTTGTAGATGTGCAGCTATCTCATGATGCAGCAATTCCTGGCAAATGAGATCCCTTGCACTTGTATAAAAGGAGACTCATTCAAGAATGCTCTTAGCGCTGGACTCAATTATAAAAACCTGGGTATAACTTCAATGACAATGAAAAGCGTAGTAGATGAATGAACTCTGCTATATTTATATAACAGAATATTTGTAGCATTCACAGAGACCTGCAATAATACAGATGAATCTTAGTTAAATAATATTAAGTGAAAGAAGTCCTAACACATCACAACCATGGTACCCTTTTAATGAAGTTAAAAACTAAAACAAAAAAAAAAATTTAAGGGATGCCTGTAGAATCAGTTATGTCTTAGTTATCTAATGCTGCTGTAACAGAAATACTAGAAGTGGGTGGCTTTACAGAAATTTATTTTCTCACAGTTCTGGAGACTAAAAAGTCCAAATCAGGGCCTCAAGCACGTTGATTCCTTTCATGGGCCTCTTGTCTAGTTTCTGGTAACTTCAATTCTTGGCATTCCTTAGTGTCTGTCTTCTCTGTGTCTCTTCTCCTCCTTTTATGACTCAGAAGTGATTAGGTTTAGGACCTGCCATATTTGTGAACTAGTTAACAACAACGTAATCTGTAACACAATAACATTTTATAAAAAGAAAGCAAAGAAATGATGAACAAAGGATTTAGTATGATGGTTAGTATGATGGTTAGCTTGGGTATTGTCAAGGAGTGAGCTGAGCTGGTGACAGCTGAGCTGAGCTGCCAGGTGTCAGAACAGCCAATTAAAACAAGCCGAAATGAAAGGAACAGTGAAGCCCTTTAATCACTTACTTTGAAAGTATAAGCAAGAGAAACCTGGAGAAAGTGCTGACTCCCCC